AGTCACACTGTGCTGCTTATTTGAACCACCTACACTTGTGATGATCTGATCTGATCCCTCCTCATTCAGACAACGTCTATTCCTCTTTTTTAACATGAACGTCGCAAAAGCTGTCCAAGTCGGTGTCGGGGTACTGATTATGCACAACCGCAAGGTGTTGGTCGGACGGAGAATCGGAAGCCATGGAGCAGGTTAGTCGTCGGATGAGTTCTGCAATTTGGAATCTGGAATGAGCAACAGTTCGGCGTCCATTAACCTATGGCTTTCTACTCGTCGCAACATAGACACTTGGCAGCTAGCTGGAGGTAACTTAACGCAAGAAAAGCAGCTTTTTTTTTTTTTTTTTTTGCAAAGGATCAGGGACCGAGACGATACTGATCCGCGTACCCATTTTCTGTTGACTAGGTCACCTGGAGTTTGGTGAAACGTTCGAGGAATGCGCGATCCGTAAGCACTCTCGACCTTAATTGCTTCGCCCAATAGATCTCGCGCCCTGTTTCATCTGCATTGTCCCTTGATATCAACATCTTTTGATTGCTTTGCTCCTTTCTTTTAGGTGAGGCCGAGGAAGAGACGGGCCTGACTCTGGACTCTGCTTCGGCCAAGTTTTTCACCGCCAATAACAACATCATGAATGACATTGAGAGACACTATGTCACCGTCTTCGTCTCTGCCAATGTCAACGGCAGCGCTGAGGCCAAGGTAAATGCTACGAGCAGCAACTCCGAATTAGGGGAGCCAAGGATGATACACGCTTGAGCCGCTTTACTAACGGCATGAAACAAACGCTATGAAAAATGCTAGGTCATGGAGCCATTGAAGTGCGAGCGGTGGGAATGGATCACTCAGGAAGAATTACTAGACAACAACGGACCCTATCGACCACTCTTTTCACCTCTTGCGAAAATGATCAACGATGTCGACCTCACATCGATCTTTGTCCAAAGCGCCAAACAATAAAGATCCGCATATTTCTATTTTATTTTTACAAAAGGAATGTTCCGATGTGGAGTCTACGCCAGTACCATGGAATCAAAGCTTGGGAGCGGTGGTAGTAATGGTCTATGGGGTACATAAATCGAAGATTACATGTGATCAATAACAATACATGGTAATGAACCAGTTCAAAACGGGCCACGAGATAAAAAATACCTCGCTACAATATGGGCAGGCGCCAAAGAGGGTGTTGAAACTCTGCCGTGTAGTTGGGACGGACCGTAGCCACTACATGAAGATACAAAGGATACCATGTCAGTTCATAACTGATTCAGCGAAGCGCTCGCCGCCTCATCCCTGCTATTCATGTTACCTCATAGAGACACGCGCGATGATATGGCTGCTGGCATTTTGAATGACTGCAGAGCTGATCAGGCACCTGGCCTTCGAAGCGGAACGAGTAACAGATGCCACATTCAATGTTCATCTCGTCCTTAGTCACAGTAACAGGGGATGGGAAACCATTGGGCAGCTCTAACAATACCTCCAGATTCTCACGTGGAAGTTTTCTTTGGTCCCTAATGTATCGAAAAAGGCATCGGTGAAGTTAGTCTGTGAATTTAGATAAGGACAGCCCTAGGCTTTTTTACTGCCACTGAACATACCATAGCCTTGCATTCTCGTGCAATTTGAGCCGCATAGGCTCAATGCTTGTTGTCGGACCAAACAACCGCGTATCGGGTACGGACCGCGGAGATAGTGGATCGATCGTCATTTGAATAGAACAATGGTTCCCTAAGTCAATTTATATCCAGGAAGGAAGAGAGAATAAAAAAAATAAAAAAATTGCTCAGTCTAATGCTCCACGCTTACTTGCCTTTCCAATTACAGGGCTATTTAAATCAAACGATATCATACCTAGAGCGCAGCGCCGCATACGATCCGCTCTTGTCGGTTTCTCGGGGTCAATCACCCATGTCTTTTCGTCAATATCCTGCATTACGTCCCAAAAGTCCCTAAAGAGCTCGAGCCACCTCTCTGTCTGCTGGACCACAGCCTGAAGTCCGGATTGTTGTCTTAATGAGTGTGTGTCTGCTGCTAACTGCTGTGTGAACGAACGATGTTCAAGATCGCATTCTGGAGTTTCTAGAGGCTCAAGGATAAAGGGAATAGTCGGGTAACCTGGCGGGAATTTGACTGTCAACAGATGCTTGCGTTGAGAGACGTCACTGTGGATGAAGTAGGGGTTGCGGACAAAACTATTAGAAGGATGTATCGCGACAAGAGCGCAGATACTTGTTTCTCAGCCATGTGTAGGAATACATACTGGAGTTCGATCTGGACTTGAGAGAAGTCCTCCTTCATTTGTGATACTCTATCCCAACCGAGGATATCCAACTGTTCCATAACGCTGGACCAGTACGACACTGGCTTTTCCTGACCGGTACTCATGCTCTGGCTGCTTAAGATCGCTTCCTGCGAGTAGATGACCAATTGAGTCTCGTTAGTTGCCTCGCTCTTCCCTGATGCAGTTCTATTTTGTTAACGAAGGAAGGCAACGCGCACCAATGTATCGACCAGTTCGATCAAAAAACCCTGCATGTCGGCGGCCTCTTCCATCTTCTATAACCCGTTAGGATTCACAGGATCAGTATCTTAGATCCTCTGCATTAAATACAGCACCAAACCATTTGTATGGATGGCATATGTTCAGCCTACCTTCTGTAGCTGTGTCTCATGTCCCTCAAGGATCTCTTTCAATTCTTCTGTGCCAGTGATACATCCAAGGCTGCTAGAGAGAACCCTGTGTGCAGCCGCTGTTCCTCCAACAATGAATCCGTGTCTCTTCTTTGCAGTGCTGGACATCTCAATGCAGACTTCAAGTTCCATATCCTGCAAATCGAAAACACATGGCTTAATAGGATACACTTTATTGCATGGCTGTAGCATAACAAAGCACACACACCACTAACCATAACCGAAAGGAACCCGTGGTAAATGTCTGGATTAGAATGCCATTGAACCAGCAATGGAAATGCCTGCATGGCCGATCAACATTCAGGGCTCGGTGGTACTGGAAGTAGAATGCAAACGGAGGAACGATGATGCTTCGGTACTGCGCGCGATAAGGAGACTGAACGAAATATGCTACACGCTGCGCCGAAGAGCACTCTCAAGAAGGATAAACTCCACGTTGGCTGATCCTTCTTATACACACACGCATACACACACATTCATCATTTACATTCTCCTCTCTCTCTCTCTCTCTCTTTCTCATCACCTCTCCTTCTTCCCTCAGATCCAGCTACTCAATCCACAAATCACTCAATGAACCCTGCAATCGCACCACCTGCCTCTTTCGGGCTTATCTCCGGTACTGCCTTCGCCTCCGCGTCTCCTGCAGCGCTCGCAAAGATCCTCGACTCGCTCGATTTGGCCTCGCTCGAACAAGAACACTCACGTCTTCAGCGCGCCATCCAGCAGCTCCAACAGTCTAACAAGGAGATCAAGGAATTTATCGAACTTGAGCAACAAGAGCTACAAGAACATCACCAGCAACACGGAGGGACTGAAGCAGGCGATACCGAGACTTCATCTTACGAACCGGACCCAGAGTTCATGCTGGCGATCGAAGAGAACGAGGCTGTGATTGCAAAATACGAGAGGATCTGTGAGCAATTGATGAGTGCTATCCAGAGTAAGCGTGGGGCTACGACAGCAGAATCAGGTTCGGCGGGGCAGCAAGAGCCAGCTGGAAGCACGGACGCTACTGTCGAGAATGAACCTGCGGAGGAAGGCATCTATCTGTAATTGGCATTGTCCGTCTGTACATTATTAAAAAAGCGAGCCAAATCATCATATCCAAGGTCGCAAGAAGGTGTATGTCCTTCCCATTTCACAGCCACCGCAACTAGATAATGGGGCAGGCAATCTGCGCACATGCCTCTTCAAGGACATTTGAGCATGACTGATGAACGCATCAGAGACGTTCTTCAAGAGGCACTAGACTGAAAGGATGCTGACATCGACTCAAAGCTATTGAATCTGATAATGTCATTCAAGAGAATCCGGTTGCAAACACTCTTCCTCTAGCGTTCTTTGGCTGAATCGATGGCACCGGCACGATTGGAGTCTTGGGAGCAAAAAAAAAATTAAAGAAAAAGGATCCTAAAGGACGCCCTCGTCCGCTGTCTTGGTCCAACTTTCTTTGATTTCGTATGGAGACGAATATGGGCAGTGCTAATGGCTACGAATAAAAGGATCGCCCAGCGAGAGAGTGTGTCCTCCGACTTGTCTGTAGCTATGTAATTGCTATTCTGTGCTGTGTATACCAACCACACTTTCAGATCTCATCCTTAGTTGGAGTCATTATCTTGTTGCTAAGGTAGTAAATTGGGACCTGCCGCAGTCCACTGTACCTGCGCGAAACCCAGAGACAGACTCAGGAACACGCTCCGACGAAGTGGAGTTGGCCAATTTCACGACCTGTTTCTCGGTCTTGCCCGCATTTTTTTTTATTTCGTTTAAAACGTTCATCAGGTATCCTCCATTTCTTTCCTCCTTTTTCTTTCTTTCATAACATTCTTTTTAAGCGCGTTTACCGGTCTTACTTCCTGAGCACTGTCTGGCCTTCTATATCGATCCACAACGATACCTGGCAAGATCATACTTCCTGCTTTCCCTTCAAGAAATGGCGGATGACAAACGCCCTCCGACTGCGATCGAGCAGGCCACCATCCTCTCCTACATCACATTCAACTGGATCCAGCCTATGCTGCTCCGCGGGAGGGTAAACTATTGCATTCCATCTATGATGTGCAGGTGCAACTAAAATATCTAAAGTCCTTTTTAACTAACATCTACGCATCTTCCTTTATCTATCCTTCAATAGAAGCATACTCTAGTCGCAGAAGAGCTACCACGCCTCTCCGAAAAGGACAAGATCCAACGCATTTCAGACCTCATGCTCTGCGAATGGACTCGCGAGGTCGAATCTAAGAGACTCATACCAGATAAAAAGCCAAGCCTATACAGGGTCCTCTGGCGGTGCTTTGGGCTCTACGCCTGCGTACCCTTTATTTCTGGCCTCCTCGAGAGCGTCTGCAAGGTCAGTGAGGCTGTGCTTCTCGGGTAAGTTGCCGTACAGACCTAGCCACGCATTCACACGCGATTGCGACCATAAAGTTCTTGAAAATGGACTAACGTTTCATTCGGTCAACGATATCTAAACAAACTATGTTGCAGATATGTAATTCGCTTTTTTGACACGCCTGAGATGACGATACGGGAGGGCATGGGATACGCGATTGCGTTGTTTTTAGTGACGCTGTTTCATGGCACGGTTCACCACCACAATTTCTTCCACGTTCTACGGATCGGAACCTGGACGCGACAGGGCCTTATCGCGCTCATGTACCGAAAGTGCCTCACCCTCTCAACCTCGAGCTCCATCTCCACAGGCACCGTAATCAATCTCATCTCAAATGGTATGTATCGTGTCACGCACTTTCTCTTTTTGTCTACTGTAAAGTCTAATATAAACTTTTTTTTCCATCTTTAAAAACTCTCGCGACTTCATGAATAGACCTGCAGCCGTTCGAAAACTGCGCTCCCTTCGGGCTCTACGTGATCCTCGGGCCTTTGGAGATGATCGCCGTCATGTACTTTCTCTGGAAAGAACTCAATGTCGCCTGCTTATCCGGCCTCCTCGCCCTCTCCTTGCTCATGCCCATCCAACTCTTCTTCTCCCGACACTTCGCCACCATCCGCACTAGGACCGTCCATGCCCGCGACGAACGCATCCGAACCCTTTCGGATGTCTTTTCGGGCATCGAGCTCCTCAAACTCTGCGCTTGGGAGGTCCCCTTCCAAGAAAAGGTCATGATGCTCCGGTCGATCGAATTGAAATATATTTGGAAGGCCAATGCCATGCGGGCAATCAATATGTCAATCTATTTCTTCTTCCAACCGTTGGTTGCGCTGTTCGCCTTTGTGACCTATTGGCTGCAGGGAAAATCGTTGACCCCGGATAAGGTGTTTGTGTCCTTGACATTGTTCAATATCTTGAGGATTAGTATGACCTCGTACTTTCCGAAGGCACTCGAGTCCATGGCCGAGGTCAGAGTGTCGGTCAAACGGATTACGGATTTTCTGATGCTACCGGAGCTGAGAGCGATCGAGAATGGCTCCCAGAACAAGACTTGGGCGCAGAATCTTAAGGAGAACGAAAAGAGTATGCAGGACGAATTTTCGGATGTGCTGGTCGAGATGAAGGACGCTTCATTCTCCTGGGCTATTGTGGCGGACGAGGGGGACAAGATCTTGGAACTGTCCTCCAAGGAAAAGCAAGCGAAGGAGGACGAGGGGCAAGAGAAACCTGATCCTGACGATAACGACAACAATTCAGCCATTGCCCTGGACTCTTCCAAGAAAGCGATTCTCAGCAACATCACTATGTCTCTTCGTCGCGATGAACTGCTGGCGATCGTAGGACCTGTCGGATGCGGCAAGTCGAGTTTATGTATGGCCCTGCTCCAGGAGATGACCCTGGTCTCTGGCTCCATGGACCTGGTCCATAGCCGACACCCGATCACCATGTCCTATTCTGCCCAGTCGCCCTGGATCTTTGCAGGAACGATCAAGAGCAACATTTTATTCGGTTCTCAGTTCAACCAGGAGCGCTATAGCAAGGTCATCAAGGCATGCGAGCTCACCCGCGACCTGTCCCTGCTCCCGCAAGGAGATGAGACTATCATCGGCGAGAAGGGCGTGACCCTCAGTGGTGGTCAGCGTGCCCGTGTTTCTCTCGCGAGAGCAGCGTACAGGGAGTCGGACATTTATATCCTGGACGATCCACTTTCGGCTGTCGATCCCAAGGTCGGACGTGCGCTTTTCGACAACTGCATCAATGGGCTGCTGAAAGCCAAGGCACGAGTACTGGTGACACATCAGTTGCAGTACATCAAGGATTGCGAGAACGTTATTGTACTTGAGCGCGGTCGTATCACGCATATGGGACACGTAGACGGGGTTATGAAGGAGGAGACTGAACTCAAGCAGGAGGTTCAGGATGGCGATTCTGTAAAGAGTACCAGGAGTTGCGCTCGATTTGTGGATGTGCTGCGCGAATTTGCAACGAAGGCGCCCAGAGCTTCCGAAGAGGACGGGCGTCTGTCCAACGATGCTGAGATCATAACCCAGAACAAGGCACTCGATGCAGAAAGAATCTGGGGAAATGAAGATGGAGATAGGGTTAAGAAAGATGACGACGATGGGGTGAGCATCATGGAAAAGAGCTTGACGACCGAGGAAGTGGCAGAGGGCGAGACCTCGCTCGAGGTCTATATCGACTTCTTCCGGATCGGTTCTCCCTGGTCGAAACTCATCCTGACGGCCATTTGTCTAACAACAGCTCAAGGGATCATGGTCGGTGGCGACTTTTTACTCTCCAAATGGTCAGGCCAGGGAGTGGCGGAACAAACACATCCATATTATCCAACGGCGTTCGGACTGTACTGCCTTGGAACTGTGATCATGACGATCGCGCGATCGTACCTCTTCTTTGACTGTGTAACCTCGAGCTCGCGCAACATGTTTCGGGCGATGCTCGATGCATTGATGCATACTAGTATTACCTTCTTCCACGCGAATCCTCATGGACGGATTCTGAACCGGTTCTCGAAGGATATGGCGAACTGTGACGAGTTACTGCCGTATGTGTTCTTTGACACGATACAGATCGGATTCATGTTGCTTGGGTCTGTGGTGACGGTCTGTGTAGTGAATCCGTGGATCGTCATCGCGATTCCGTTTATCTTGACAGGGTTTGTCGCGTTGCGGGTGCTGTATATCAGGTCGAGTAGGCAGGTCAAGCGGATTGATAGTCAGTCGCGGTCGCCGATATACTCACATCTGTCCGAGACCTTGGATGGACTGAGTTCCGTGAGGGCGTTTGGGGTTAGTGGAATGTTTATGGACAAGCATATCAGGACGCAGGAAGATAATGGACGCGCGTTCTTCACATATCTTGCCATGGCGCGTTGGCTCGTAAGTTGTTGTTTGCTGTTGTTTTTTCTTCGTGTTTCTTCTCGAGTGTAATTTATTCATGGAATCAATGCTGACTCTCTTTCTTTTATTTCGTGCGCTTGGGTACACAGGGCTATCGGTTGGATGCAGTGTCAGCGCTGTTCCTGGGCATTACTGCGATCGCCTGCGTTGCCGCTCGCGATTCCCAAGAAGCCGCCCGTGTGGGTCTTGCCATGTCCTCTGTCATTAGCATCTCTGGTGAGCTTCAGTGGGCCATCCGTATGAGCGTTGAGGCTGCGATCCTAATGGTCTCCGTCGAACGTATGATGGAATACTCCCATATCGACCCCGAGCCTTCTCCGCGCCATATCCATAATCCTGATGGATCCTCAGCTGTCCCGAACGGATGGCCACAGGAAGCCAAGGTCACCTTCACGGACATGTCCTTGACCTACCCTCGCGGTGAAGGCCCGGTGTTGAAGAACATCTCGCTGGATTTCAAGGCTGGCGAGAAGATCGGGATCGTGGGTCGCACAGGAGCCGGCAAGTCCAGCTTGATCGGGGCACTCTTCCGACTCGTCGATACCACCACGGGCAATCCGCCTCATCATGGAGGCATCTCCATTGACGGGGTCGATATCTTCAAGATCGGGATGCACGACTTGCGCGAGAAGATGGCGATTATCCCACAGGAACCCTTCCTCTTCCGCGGCACACTGCGATTCAACCTCGACCCAACATCTCAGCATCAGGATGCGGACATCTGGGCGGCACTGGAGGCCGCGGAGTTGAAGCGTCTCGTCGAGGGTCTTGAGGGAGGACTGGATGCGACTGTGGACGACAATGGAAAGAACTTTAGTATCGGCGAGCAGCAGTTGTTGTCGTTGGCGCGTGCGGTGTTGAGACGGGCCAAGATCATTGTCATGGACGAGGCCACTGCGAACGTGGACCTGCAGTCTGACCGGATGATCCAAAAGGCGATCCACTCGCAGTTCAAGGGCACAACCGTGTTCACGATCGCACATCGATTAAATACGGTCATTGGCGACTACGATCGTATCTTGGTGCTGGACCAAGGAAAGGTGGTGGAGTTTGGAAAGCCGTGGGAGCTGCTGAGGGAAGATGAGGATTGTAAGGGTAGTGGGTGGTTCAAGGCGATGGTCGCAGGGACCGGACCGGAGAACGAGGCGAAGTTGAGACAAGTTGCGGAGGAGCAATGGCTGAGTCACCGCAGTGGCTGTATCTGAACACCACGATGTAGACTATATTCGTGGAACTCGTGTAATAAAAATGAGGTTCTTTATTTGATTACCTCTAAAATGATGGTTAAGTCTGAAAAGTACTGCACATGTCTATGAAGAATGAACGTCAAGTTCTGTGGGGGGTCATTAGTTTGGGTGGTCATTAATTAGAGGTGTCCTGGTATTTGTTGGCGCATTTATCAAAGAGAAAAATATACAAGTTTGTAAAGACAGAAAGAATAGGAGGGATAAACTTAAACTAACTGCTGTTGTGGTAAAAAAAAAAAAAATCGGCGCCACGGTTCCCGAGTTCGTATATCTGCCACCGTTTTAGATCGGTATGGCCCTGCTTCCCGCCCTGGAAGGGGGAAGGGGTTTACTTGTTCTCGGCAACTACAGCAACCTGAACTGACTCCTTCACCATCGCGGTCTCCTCGACCATAATCGTCGAACTAGGCGTTTCATCCGTGGCCACTGCCTCCGCTGCTGCCGTTGCTGGAACTGGAACCTGCACAGAAGGAGACGCCAACGAGATCGCACTCTTCGGCTCAGCGCTCTCACTACTACCGGTGACTGCAGAATCCCTCCGCTTCTTGCCCTTAGGGATCACAATCTGGGTCGGATACACCACCGCCGTCAACCTCTTCTGCGTATCCTTATCCGCCTCCTCCTTAATCACAAAATCTTCCGAGAACGAATTCAGTGACGGCAAATCCAACACAGCCTTTTCCATTGTTTTCCTCCTCTGGGGATGTGGAGGGCGCAGCTGCTCGGGCGAGGGTGTGATGATCTGAACACCATAAGCGCTTGTGAAGCTCGCGCTCCGTCCTGCACGACCGCTCTGTATGCTCTGCATGCTCAACGCGCCAACACTACCTTTCCGGACCTGGCTACCGTAACCAGGTCCAGAGGAGACCATTAAGGAACCCGCACGAGATCGAAAGGGTGTGATCATACCGTCTTCTTCTTCGGGCGTATCGGGGTATTCGTCATCCTCACCCTCTTCGTCAGTGACCAAGTTCGCGTCGTTATCGTCCGTACTAGTATTCGAAGCCGCGTACGGGGGGCGATAAAGATGCTGATTATAGGGCGATGCAAAGATTGGTCCTTGCCTTGGAGAATTCGAACCATAAGGACCGAGTTGTGGCGAATGCGATGCGGCTGTCCAAGGAGACATATGCAGAGGATGCAGACTGGGTGAGGGTTGTGGGACGAGGTATCCGGATCCGGAGTACGCGCGCGAGCGCATGGCCATGGCCATTATCGGAGACGGTGATCCCAAGTTCTCGGCGCCGTAGGGCATAGTGCTGTGTCGCCTTGCATTGTAGGTCGAGAACCGTCTTTGGTTCACCATCGGCGGAGGGTTTTCGGCGACGAGACGCTTCCGAAGGACCTCGCCGAACGCGAATTTGACATCCGCCAGGGACTCGCCCTTCTGGGGGAGGTGCAGTACAGCATCGAGCCCGATCAAGAGCTCCTGTTGAAGGAGCGAAGAGGCCATGCATCCAAAGTTCATAGCCGCAGGGTCCGTAGGTGAATCAAAGAGCAATGGGCCGGGCTTGCCGTAAATCCTAAATGCCTCGCTAGTTCCCAACAAGAACTGTGTCCGCTCCACCTCATTCGCGACTTGGAGCATCACAAAGTTCGCCCGACCCGTCGGCATCAACGTCTGAAGATCCCGTGCGAGCGCGGAGGGAGGCGAAGGGCTGCTGAAGAACCCCTTCTTCGAAGGTATCAGATTCTCACGCTGCAGGACCACATCTCCTTCCAACTTGAGCGTCAACGATCCCTCTTCGTCGACCTTGTTATCCTTCGACGCATTAATCGACGATCGCGACGGACACACCGCATAGGCCTGACTGACATTGTACATCGACACGAATGGCTTCTTTGACTTTGGGTTCTCATAGAAATGGATCTGTCCACGGACCGGTGCCGCCTGGAGGACCTTGTTCTGCTTCTTCTTCTTGACTTCCTCCCCACGCTGGTCCGAGACCACGACATACAAACGCTGCCAATCGTCTCCCGCCCAGAACCTGACCCGCAGGAACCCCTCGGCCTTGATGTGTCCCTCGATCGTAGCTGCGACCTGGTCTCTGAACTTGGGTCGTCTCAATAAGGTCGACGTATAGATCTCCTGCAGCCTCGAGCATTCATAACAACTGAGCCGAATCGCACACACCCAATCCTGGCAGGTAGACCCGGCCTCCGGCGATCCCAAGCTGAGCTGCTGAACGGGCTGGAAGACCGACTTGTTGGCACCTAACCAATTGATAGTAAACGTTCCTCCGGTTGGTCCATCCTGCATCTCGACTGTTGCCTCCTCCATATTCATCTCCTCGGGCTCTCCCTTCGGTCCACTGGAACCATCCATCGGTCTCAGTCTCAGTTTGGGCCCCACAAGTTCCGCAGTATAGGCTGCCCACTGCTGTCCCTGCAGCTTAAATCCCTCAACACCAAGTTCGCTCTTCTTCTGCAACTGTCCTCGGAGGTAGACCTTTCCGAAATACACATCGAACTGCTTCAGGACCGACTCCGTATCGGACGTCTGTCCTAACGGCGCGCCGCGGAAACCAGGCGACGCCCTGGCTGTAGGAGGACCACCCAAGCTCGCAACCGAGCCCTTTCGCGATTGCGGCGTCAATGTTCCGGGCAACGGTAGCGAATTTGACGACCCGCTATAGAATCCCGTTTGATGAGGCATGAGCGCAGGCGAGGACGTAGTCGGTGTTAGGAGTGGACCATGCCTAGGTGATCCATGGCCGTTCGTTATCCAGGGCTGCTGTGGGTACTGCATCATATTCGGGCTCGAAGGTTCCATCATACTCATCGGTCTCACACCCGTACTTGTCGGGTGTCCGGTTTTGGAATCCAGCGGGTGTGTCTGCAACAGCATTGGCGAGGGTATGTCTGCCCCTCTGATCGTTGGGGCATTCGCCAGTGGGTGGTGGTAGTCTGTAAAGATCCCAGATTGGACCGCAGAACTGGACTGGCACGGATCGGATGTGGGTTTGGCGGTCTGGTGCATCAATGGGGGTGGTGGAGGCGGTGAAGGATAAGTGACCCCTGAAGAAGATTGAGAGGTACTGTGGTCGGAAACCGTGGTGGACGGTGGTGGGGAATGGATGCCGAGATCCTCGATCTTGGCCTCGACGTCTGCGACATCTGGCACTGCGGCATCCTGAGCCTTCGATTCCAGCTTGACTTCGACGGGCAAAGCAGGTAGTAGGGATGGTGATGATGATGATGATGATGATGATGATGATGATGATGATGATGCTGAAGTAGAAGGTTTGGGGTTACCGATATCATTGTGCTTGTTGTCCCGATGCATCAAATCTCTCGAAGACCATTCTGAAGGAAGGAAGGAAGTACATAAAAATATTAAAGTTAGAGACAGCTGGGTTTTCCTTTAACCCAGAGCATCTGAACAAAACGATAATGGAATAATCAGGAACCACTGGGGACAACGGGATCGCCGCTCGTTACCTTGCTGAATATCGGCTGCAGCCATTGTGGAGATGCTTTTTTTCTTTGTCTTTTTTTGTTCGTTATAAAGAATAGAGGGCGTAGTAGGGAGTTATATGAAAGAAATACTAGGGTTGTTTTTTTCTAGGGCGAGATCAATTACGGATTGTGGGGTAAAAGCCAATGAGAAAAAAGTGAGCCCCGCTCTGACAATTCCTTGCTTTCCGATCGTTGTTGTTGTTATTATTATTTGTTGGATAGTTCAGGCCGCTCAGGAACAAACAATGAGTCGTCGGTCACTTGTGTTCGTGTAGGATATTATCGTGCGTCTCCCAATTGCTGGTGCTTAAACAATGAGCTGTGCTGTTTTGCAAGAAAAAGATATTATTGGTTAGCGAGAGTACACGAGGCAAAAGTGTAAAGACGAGAAAAGAAAAGACTTGGAGAGGGGGTGATTCAGTTAATTCGGTTATTTCATGGATTCATAAAGTTCTTTTCATTCAGGCATGGCAAAAGGAAAAGGGGTTATCGCAAGGAAAAAGCGGTTGATGTGTTCTGGTATAGATTAACTGTTCCTGATTCGTGGAGAAGACAGCATGTGTCAAGAGGATTATTTCGCACACACAGGGCTAGCATACTCACCAGTAGTTGCAAGCAATTGAAAGGGGATGGTGAACCGATAATATGGTAGGAAGCAGATAAACAGGGAAATAAAAAGAAAGGAGCAAAAGGAGGACGTGATTGAGTGAAGGAATGCGTGAGTGAAGGTGAGGTTGAGGTGAGATATCGATAGTCGCCTCTAATGTACGGGGAGACGAGAAAAAAAACAATTCTTTGTTAAAAAAAAGGACGAGAAAAAGGAAGAAGAACGGCTGGAATGAGCAGAGAGAAGGAATGTGAATGCAAAAGGGAAGCAAGGGAAGAAAAAGGCAGAAGGAAACGAGGAAAAGAAGGAGAGGAAAGGAGGAACAATTGAACTCGCAGGAAATAACGTGAATTTTTTTTTTTGCTCACCCTCTCTCTTTCGTGGAAAGTGGGAAGACTACCAAAAAAAAATACGAAAGTTGCATATATTTTTAGTCAACTCTTTGCGTTGGTTCGTTCGCTCTTCCACCCGACAAAAGTAAAAGCGAAGATGTTCACGCTACAGCAACAACAATCATCCACCGATATATATGTAGAACTAAACTCTGTGTGCGGGTTTGTTATGCACGCGGATTGATCACTCTAGTCTATCTTCGTTTCCCGTGCGCCCTATTTTATCCCGTCTCGCCCTCCTCTTCCTATTTACTCCTCTACAAATTCTAAGCACCAGAGTCGTCGGGCCACGCTTCAATTGCCATCCTTCTCGACCTACTAGCATTACTAGCATAATAACAAAAATGGACAGTACCCTTTTTTCATGGCCGACTTCCTTGTCTCCTTTGTGAGGCTACTGGTTTCTTTACTATTATATTTTCTGAGAGGAATCGCATATGGATCCTTTTTTTTCCTCTCATTGCAATGTATGTATGTATCCCTGAAAACCTTTTTGCGTCCGCCCCCTTTGTCTCTACAATAGTCCATTTCTTCGTAGCCTAAAGGACTTCGCCCAAGGAGAGCAAAGACTGCAAGCGAGTGAGCTACTTGTCAAAGAGAGGAGAGAAAATATGTGTGTACCATATATCCCTTTTTCTCTGAGAATGGCGCCTCATGTTGAAACTTTTTTTGCTGAGAATATTATTGTGTTACGCCCGGCTGCCAGGTATTTTGCATGAATGAACAGAACAAACGGACGCGGCGTTTCTGCATGTTCGACAGACGATAGACAACATCACAAGAGGACACATGTGCTGACGATTACTGATTTCCGGATTGTGTCCAACGCCCTTGTTATTTTATCGATGGTTGCAGGATCTCCTCAAGTTTGATCCGCTTGTTACTGGGTCTATCAGATCGAAGCAACAAATGTCTTCATTTAATGAAACAGGCGCCGTAATTTTGATCTTGCAATATGTAAAATATTCAAGTCCGTTGTGTCAATGAGCAATTCATTGATAGAACATGGAGAGGATGAGTGACAGTTATGATCGAAGGTCACTCCACAAGAACTTGCCTTCCTGGCGCCCCCACCGATTATAGAAATCAGAATATAGGACATGGACATGTGTTAATTGAGGAACAGAACCCAGAATTGGCACTAGGTCTTATACATTCATGCTGACTGGGGCTCTTACCAGACACATGCATTATACCTACTCTGAGTGCTAGACTGAATACACGCATTTCTTATGCTTTAGCATGGTCGTGTTCGTGTCTGTAGTACCCAATTTCGCCTTTGTGGTCCGAGAAGAAAATTAGCAATACTAACTGGTAGCCGATCCGTCAGCAGGCAAAAAAGAGCCAAGAACCAAGACCAACAGCCAGAGCCGGAATCAGAGCCAGAAATAAAAACTATTATTGAACAGCCCCACAGCTTGTCGCCTTGCCTAGGCTAGCCTGTCGCCTACCGACTTGAAATATTGCTCCCCACATTCCGCCTCGTTGGTTTGTTGAGCAAGTAAACGAAAACTTAACCAGTAGAGTAGCGTGGTACCTGATTATAAAAAAGAAAAATTCCTCTCGCGCATGGACATTGCTTTTTTGTTAACATGGCTAAAAATACTTGCGTTGATCTATTTTTGCCAGACAAGAAAAATGAAGTCGCACATACGCACGATACATATGAGAAGATAGTGTGATCCGTCCCTTTGGGTTGCAGCTGTCTGTGTCCATGTAGATCAGAGCCGGGCTGGACACAGCGGGGAACCGTCTTATCCTTGTCCTCCAAATCAGGTGCTCCCCGACTGGACATGGTCTGTGTGCGTTGGATCTATACCAATCAAATCAAGGCCATGACGAGATCTACACACACACACACACATACATCCCTGTCATCCTTTGGTACAGAAGAGGCTGCCAGCACCCTTCCAATGGACCCCAGTCTCCTCTCGCATCCTATTTGCAAATGACTATGAAGAGATGATCCTCATTCAGAACACTGGTCTGAATGGGAAGCGGCATGGCTACACTCTTGGCTGTACCCCTGCTATTTCCCCGTAACCCCCGCCCCCTTCGCTGCAGCTGTTAATTGAAATCCATGTGCGATGAGTCCTCCACTCCGATCCCTCGCTTGCGTGCCTGCGAATGAGGCCATTTTGTTGTCAAAGGGCCTCATTGGATGACAACAGCGGCACCGATAAACGTAAACAAACTTTTTTTTTTTTTTTTTCTGTTCCTTATCTTCGCTTTTCTCAGGTCCCCTTCCCCCTCCCTCCTTCGACCCTTCGTCCCTCTTCCTTCCTTTCCTCGTCCTCGTCCTCATCCTTGTCTTCCGCCACTTCCAGCACTTGTCGTTGCTATCTTGCTTCTTGTCAGTCTGCGTGCCCCCCAGCAGACAAAATTGCCCTCACCCCTCTCCTCTCGCTCTCCCATCTCCCTCTTTCGTTTCATCTCCTACCACAGCTCGGACCACCTCCCTCTCCGCTCCTCCACCAAGCAATGTAAGTCCCTGGGTTCTGTTACTACTATCAAGTGTGGATCAGATCGACAATGAGCACTGTCTCAATGAGGTTGTACAGCCATCAAGCCTTTCGATCCAGTGCTAATGTATCCCCCTTTTATTGCTTGTCCCTAGCCCGTGCGCTGTCTCTGGATAGCTTTGCCACATACTCGATCAGACTGAAACAACAACAACAAACATAACAAGCGACAAGAAGCAACAATGCCTGCATTACTGTGTTCGGGGGCCCTGACAGAATCCACCATGACAGGACCCATCCTCAAAAAGCGACTACAAATCCGCCAGCGGACCAGGGACATCTTTGAAATGCCCGAGCTATGCGACTCTATCGCTCATCATCTCGATAAGCAGTCCCTCGCAGCCGTAGTCAGAGTCTCCACTCTGTGGCACTCGACTTGGATCAGACATCTCTGGAGAAGAGTCCGAGTCGAAGCAGGAACGACAAAGAGTTCTGACATGGCCCAGGCCTTCCCCAGATTGGGTCGCCACATTCGGCAACTGGACTGGATTGATCTCTCGGACTCCACCATCACATCCAATTCGATTCTCAGAGATGCAGACCTGTCCTCTCTGAATCTCCACAGCCTACTGCTGGCGAATTGGTCGAGTGAACTGAATGCAACCACGCTGTCCCGCTTTGTCGAGTCATCCACACACCGACTCTCGGCTCTGCAGCTCCATAATCTGACGACCATTCGTGGTGATCTTTTGAAGGTGGCGGGATCGCTGAGAAACCTGCGACACTTTAGTCTGGTCATGGCAGGAGAGGACTCTAGACACAACCACCATCATCAGCGATCGAATGGTTCAGTGTCTTCGCCCAATAGCCCCACAGTCCTTAGCAGTCCCACGGACGGGGCGGAGTTGGCGGAGTTTACAAGTGCGGACTCGCTGCCAGCGCTCATGGATGCCTGTCCGAGACTGAAGACGATCGAGCTCCTGGATCTGCGCTCGCCTTCAACTGTTGAAACAACTACTTTAGAAGCCCAGGATGCCACTGCAACGCCGACTGACTCGGACACTGTGTGCCCATCGATCGAACATGTTGCCCTGAACTGGATGCCAATGCAGTATTTGACCCTCATCAACCTGCACGAGACCGCCATCTCTGGATCTACCCTCTCCACTCTCTTTGCACGATCCCTCCAGCTCACAAAACTCAACCTCGGCCAGTCCTCCCCGCTCTACCTCACTGGACTCAAACTGGATCCTCTTCTGTCCATGACCGCCTTGACAACTCTCATGTTCGCAGGATGCCACTTTCTGGACGGACACGGCTTCAAAGAGATCTTCAAGGCTTCGCCAAACCTTCTATCGCTGGACATTCCCAAGACAAACGTGGATGATGCTGCCCTCGGAGTTCTAGGCCATCAATGCAGCCGACTCACAGACCTGAATCTCGATGGATGCCAGCAAATCACGGATCAGGGCGTTCGCGATATGCTTTCTAATCCACCAGTTGCCAAGGTGAACGGAATCCGGAATCCTTCCTCTATCAACTTGACTGTTCAGCAAGGTCCTTATCAAAACTATACCCTCCACTGTTTGTCGGTGACAGACTGTACAGAGTTGACGGGACAGGGGATTCATCACATTTTGATGACCTGCGCAGGCCTGAGGAGCCTTGAGGTTCAACAACCAGAGCTCCTCCCCGAGAGTCTCTTCCCTCACACACTCGAATCCGACCAGGACCAGGATATTGAGAGCCCCTCGGCGCCAGCTAGTGAATCCACTACAATATACCCTACCACCGAGTCTGGAATCGAAATCGAGGACACGATTGGTGGCGGATCGACCTCGTTGTCGTGGGCATGTCGCTCAACTCTGGAACTCCTTCGGATCAAGAACCTGAATTTTCTCAACCCAGAGCAGACCCAATTTCTGAATGCGCGCCTTCGAGAGCTGTCGCAGCTGAAAGTGCTTCATATCGGCGGCAATCAGTTGGAGCTGTCGGTACTGAATGGATTGGGCCATCAGCTCGAGAACCTTTACATCGATGCTCTGGTGAGAGAGGTCGGGATGGAGGACGTGCGATGGCTGGTGGATCATACACCGAACCTGACGAGGTTGTGGTGCCGCCAGTTAATCCGGCATTCAGAACCATGGAAGCTGTTGAGGAGCGCTAGGAAGCACCTCAAGCTGTGGTAGTTCTTCTCTTTCTTCCCTTTGATCCCATTGGCATTTTTAATCGACACGAGTACATGCATCCATGCGTTCCTACATTCATTCGTTCATAGAATCATTTGCATACTTGGATATATCCATAGACAAAATATACATAGACATCTTCAGGGGTACAATACAACAATGCATGTGTATCTCAATTTGCATCGTATCTTTAATTTTGTGTTCATTGCCAATCGTGTATAGATCGAGACCATGCTCAACCCCCCCCCTCCGAGCCGAATTTCATTATCGTTCACCCTCTCTCTCACACTTTCGCCGTCTCTTTCTTTTGTGGGGGATGTCTTGTGGAACCATGGCTTTTCCCCTCTACTCTTACCCCTTGCTAAAAATACAGCACAAATTCAATTCCAATTCCATGAGATCGTCTTCGAGAGAGTTTACAAATTTGTAACCTTCTTCCTCCCTCTCTCTCTCTCGCTCTCACAAAAATTATGAGCCGCGCAGATGATTGACTAGCGTAGTGGAAGGATGGGCAGATAGATAATCGTTTTGCAGTGCCCAAACTTCAAAACACCATAGGATAAAAATCTATCTGTGTTCAACCTCCATCGCGCTTTAAATCACCGTTTCCCGTAAACTGGGAAGACAGGCCACAGAGGGGACCATTTGTTGACCGTCCTTAGCATGTCGTTCGCTGTTCCCTTGTGCTGTAACTCTATCACATAGGGGATGGGGGTAGGGAAGGAAGGGGTTGAAGGTACCTTGGGCTTTGTAAAAGAGGAGATGTTGATGTTCGCATGGGAAACCATACTAATCTTGTCTAGGTTGAGGTAGATCTTTTTTTTTCGTAAACGGATAAACGGACGAACTGGTAGGGTAGACTAACAAGGAGATGAACTAACAAGGAGATGACGACTATAACATCATGTGTCCATGAACGTGGGCCCTACATGTCTACAAAAAAACAAACAACTACATGGCGGAAGAGGGCGATGGATAGATAGCATCAAATGGCATGGTTCAAACAAAAAGACTATGGCGTGTCTACATATGGGGAATCTCGTGTAGGTGTGTTTGTTTGTATCTGTACGACAGGCATGGCAGACACCCTCCTCTCCTCCAGCCCTCCTTCGTCAAATGCCATGAATCCTCAACGGTATTCACCACGCACACCTTTATTTTTCAGGAACAAGCTCACCTCCGATTTTCAGACAACAGGAGATGAGGATGAGTTCCAGATGATGGCTACAAATGTAAACCCAAGGACAATCGCAAGAATTTTAGGCACAGAGAGCTATTCGCCATCTGGCAAGCCTAGGTGGTACAGTTGTACAGCACTTTTTTTTTTTGCTCCCTTTCTTCTCTCCGATGGGACAAATCTGCATTTTGTTTGTTGTGTTGGTGTGCACCATGGTGTCATGCTGTAGACTCCTTAGTCTACTAATCTAATGGTATCCCCTCTCCCAATCATGAGTAAAAAGTAGAACTAAGGCCCCAATGGCTTTCTTTTTTGGTCCCGCATGTTTGTTTTCTGAGTGAGCTGAGAGCGATTGTGTGTAGCAAGGCATGCTCCCATGTAACCCCTTGTCGTTTCGCTCTTTCTTTCCCTATCTCTCTTTCTCTCTCTCTCGCTCTCTTTTCTTCTCTTCCCTTTTCTCCTTTCTCACTTTCTACTTTCCCTTAATTTCCCTCGTTCACACCCACACATCCTACATTCGTTCGTGTTCCCATCCGAGCATTAGTCCCTTCTTCTTCCGCTCTCCCTTACACTCATACATTAATAACGACCATAAAAGGTGAGCTAAAAAAAATGTCTGTAGTAGTGCTATAGGGGGGGGGGGGGGTTCAATTGATTGTCCCTTTGATTGACACATGTCGACACTGGCTAACTATCTATCTACTGTGGTGCCATGGTACCATGTCCATCCCTTTCTCTAGTCGCTAGCTAGTCTTCCCCTTTCTTCGCTGGTCACTCCATCCCTTCCTCGCTCTTTTTCTCCCACTACCCCCCCTTTCGCCCTCGTCATCGCTCCTTCTCTCTCTCTCTCTCTCCCAGTAAGACCGTTGAGGGTGCCTGTGCGTGCGTGGGTGAAAAAAAGTGTCAACATACACATCGAAACCAAGTGAACCTAAAGGCTTCTTTTGCAATCAAAACGTCTGTTCTTCGCTATCTCCTTGCCCTCTTCAAGACAACCAACCACCCCTCTCTTCCTTTCAAGTCGGTTCCGGCGTTCTGCTTCAGCTGCTTTTTCTCTGCATCCCACTGCGTGCAACAATTTTCAGGACTCGACAAAACACAATACACCAACAAGGAACAACACTAGAGTATCGACGGTTTTATATGGGTGCTTTTATTATCAACACGCGACTCTCGTCTTCAGCCCTGCCCTCAGTGCAAACCAACCCTAGTCAAGTGCCAGTCTCGGCGACGACTTTTTTGTCGCGTCCAGCTGTTCCTTTGCAGCACAGCTTTTGCAGTTGAAAACTACAGACCACAAGACAACAACAATAACCCTCATCACCACCACCACCACCATCCCAGGCTATTCCGAAACGAACAAAAACGAAAAAAAAAAAAAAGCCCAAAAGGAAAACGAAGTAATCCGACCGACACCAAGTATCATTCAGCACCATCCTTTCCCTTTCGTCGCCTATTTCTCTTCCTCTTTCTCTCTGTTTCTCCTTTCTTCTTTTTCTGTTTCAACTCCTGCCGTTTCTATCTCTTACACCCTTTGATCTAAATCCATTTCCCTTCCATTTCTTCTATTGCGCCTGCACCCTCTCCTTTGAAAGAAAAAATAACCAACTTTTCAGCCCCATAAAAAGAGCAAAAAAAGCCGGGTTGGAATCGAAAAGAGTTATGGTGTGTGTATTGGTTCTTTCTTGTCGCGCCCGTCACTTCACGCCATGCCCCGTACATCATCTTCTTCAAAGAACTTCAACGCAGCCACTGCAACAACCACAGCAGCAACAGCCCTGAACGACCTCTCGCTCCCTTACCCCACTTCCTCTACTTCCCCACTACTCGCCCCAACCGTTCCCCTCGCAGCCTTGACCGGCCCCCTCTCACTCAAGACACCCAACAACCAACGTCTCCACGACAACACGCTTTCACTGCCTATCGGGACCACCCTGAACATCCCTCGCAAGAATGGGAGCAGCCGTATCGGGCAGTCCATTCTGGGTCAGCTGTTGGCAGCCCACCGACCAGGACGCGACCACCACAAGCTTGCGAGCGATGCGACGCTCTCGCTCGAAACCATCCGCCCAAAGGAGCAGCAGCGACGGTCGATTCTCCCCCTGAGCTGGACCAAGGGCTTTCAAAAGTCGACGGTGATGCAAGGCTTGAGTCCGCCTTTGCCTCCCTCAGGAACGACCGCAGGTACGGCGCTGAACGCAGGTCGCCATGTAATGGAGACGGATGAGAACCAGCATCCAATGCTCCCCTCTGTCTGGCTAGAACAGGCTCTCTCGCGCCTGCCTCGCTCGGATATGTTGGCGGCACCCCACTATGCAACGCTACCCAGGATTAATGTTCAGGAACCGAAGCAACCCTCGTTGCGACCCGTCATTGCGGAGATGGATTCGAAATCCCGGGAAAAGAAGTTCAAGAAGGTCAAGGACGCGAAGCAGGGTGCCTCCGGACTCAAGTCGCCGGTTTCGCTTTCTTCTCTAGATAGTGAGAAAAAGCCTAAGGTTCTGTCTAGACGGGGCTCGGCGTGCGAGCTTGCTTTGGGAGACGATGCACGCGAGCTGTTCCAACAGAACCGATCCAAGACCTTGTCCTCTGCTGTGATTTCGTCCTCGATCGTGCCTTTGAAGGAACCTGTGAGGAATGTCCGACAGCGATCGCTGGATTCGTGTGTTGCTGCGAAACAGGCGTCGGCTCTGCCCGCTACCATCCCTGATAACCTGCCTAAGTTATCGACCGAGTCCTGTCCACCACCGGGTAGCAATGGGACGACGACGAAAAGGGGCCGTTTCACGATCGAGTCGTCCTCTGCGACAGTTCCCGTTCTCACTCGAACCAGGACCCTGAGCTGTACGGCCGTGAGCTCGTCTTTTGCACAACAACATCAGCAGCACCAGCAGCACCAGCAGCACCAGCAACAGTTGGACAAGCCGACACTGTCTCTCTCGCCTGCCTCGCCAGTGACGATGCTCTCCTTTTCATTACCTCCGTCTCCGTCCATGCTCCTCAACAACCGTTCATCCTTCTTTCGCTCCCCCGATACATCTCTGCCCCCATCTCCTTCACTGTCGCCATCAACTCCTCCAATGGACGGCGCAAACAACAGCACAAGCACCCCTATCTCGATCCCTCGAGGGGGCATGCTTAACCACCAACGAACGTATTCGAATTCTTCGATCCAATCGTCCGCAAGCACAGCTTCTTCCAGACGATCCCAAGTGATCATCCCCCCTCCAGCTGCGACTTCGTCTCTTCATTTCGCATCATTTTCCTCGATCGCTTCCTCGGGTGGTCCGGGTATTTCGTCCCAGTCTTCGGTATATCAACATCAGCAGCAGCAGCAGCACCTTCCGCCTCAAAGACGTGGTACGCCGACCAACAACGGGTGTAGTATCCACAAGAACGGGAACAGCAGCAATAACAACTTCAGGAACTTGTCGATCCAGATTGCGGTGGACGCGGATAAGGGCGATAGAGGACTGAATAGTCATGACAGCCAAGTGTTCCGTCTGGATACGCCTACAGTGCACCCATTGGATGAGGATACGACGACTGCAACAGCGACGATGACTGCAACAGCGGCGGCGGCGGTGACGATGACCCGTTCGGATTCGGGCTCAAGTTCGAAGATGCAGAATATTCAGGCCCACCAGACGATGAACCGAGTGCATCCGAAGCTGGACACGATCTCGATAGTTGACAGCCCCAGTGGTGGAGATTTTGGGTCGGCTTCGCCTCTGACGGCCTGCAGTACGAGCTGCAGCAGTGTATCGAGCGCGGGCAGCAGTCTGGGACCGGATTTCGGGTACCCAGTCTATAAAAACTCGCCAGGTCCAGGATATTTCCGACAGCGGTCGCTCTCGGCGACGAATGTGCCGACGCTACGATCGGCGGGTCAGTATCATCGAGAACAACAGTACATGTCGTCCTCGCATTCGACGCAGCAGCAGCAGCAGGCGGAGAGACCGTGGAATGAGCGGACGACGAGACGGTCGCATGGGTCGGTGTCGAGTTCAGATGGACACCGGAGTCACAGTGAGCCAGGACCGATGCTTAGTTCGAGCTATGGAGGAGCACCCTCTTCGAGTTCGTTGTCGGGAGGAGGAGGAGGAGAGGTGAGCGATGTGGTGATGGTGAAGAAGAGTGCGACGGGGAGGATGTTTACGGTGGAGAGGACGGTTCCTGCGAGTCCGACGAAGACAAGTCGGTTTATTGTCGTGTCCGCGGCGGATGATCTAGAGGTCCCGACGCCGTCGCCTCCTCGACCGTCGTCGCCTCTTTGCAAGTGAGGGCGTCTTTCTTTTTCTTTTTTTCTTTTTACCTCCCTTTCGGAATGGACGACGCGTTTGATTGCGAGCAGGGCTACGACTGCGACTGCGACTACAACTACGACTACGATAGGACTACTACAGGACGCATTTTTTGTTTCTAGACGCGTTGTTTTTAAGGAACGCTTTTTCTTTATTACTATTACCTTTTGTTCTTTTACTACTATTACTCTTACTATTATTATTATTCTTGTTCTGGGTATGCTATGCATACCCTCCTTTCCATGTATCTAGCCTTTTTTCCTACTCGTTTCCCTCCTGTTCCTGTTTCTCTTTTTACTCCTTGTATTTTTATGAAAACGGCAGCACATGCCCAGAGATGATATACATACATTATTATACCCTTTTGCAGTAAAAAATAAAATAAAATAAAAGTTGTGCGTCGTTATTAAAAAAAGACTCGAGACTTCTCAGACCATGCTCTGTGGAATGAAATGGGAGCGCATGCTTTGTTGAGGACAAAATTATAGAAATTTACCCTTGGGTTTCACAAATAAAGGATGGGGGGGGATCCTTAGACTAATTGCTGGAAGGAGGGTTGTCATTCGTGGTATGTTTTCCGCAGAGTTCTTTGGCTATGTCTCTAAATGGTCCGTGGGTCTCCGGAGAAGAACCTGGAGACGGCTAGCAAGACATGTTAGAAAGGCAGATGGCAGCCAATGGAGAGCGTACGAAGGTTTCGTTGTGTCTTAAAGCTCCCCCCGGACAGCGGAATAAGAATACGCGGCAGGAACCCTGTGACCACCGTCACCCGTTTAGACAGCGAAAAGAGAGAGAGAGAGAGAATGGACGGGCCTCGGCATCGTCATTTCAGGAAGAGGGGGGACGGCAGTCGTTGCGGCCTTGGTTACACAGGGTCGAAGAAAGAAAGAGAGAAAGAAGGCGGCAGCAGCTCGTGGGAGACTACACAGCGGGCGTTGGTTTCAGGAGGAGGATGTGGCGGACGGGGGAATAGCGAGAGAGGAGGGGGAGGGGGGGCGATCGGCAGGAGATCAATGGAAGGCGAGCAAAGCAGCACATGGGAGACCAAGGGGGAGGAGAAGGCACCGGGTTCTTCTCTTTTCTATTTGGCCACCAAACAAGAGGCATTCAACAAAGGGCTCCCTCCTCTCCTTCCCCACACTCCTGCACTTATTCTTATTTTTTCTTCCCACACTCCCGAAGGTACTCGAACACACTCTCTTTCTTCTCTCTTTCTTTGTTCCTTGCTTTCTTTCTTCCTTTAAATACACTCCTGCTACAGCTGCACTGTCGCATCTCCTTTTAAAACCCGCCTTCCTCCCTTTACACTCTTATTCGAATCACCGCCACCAACTCTTAATCCCTGTCCCACTCAAACCACAGCCACTACAGACCGAGACAGCCCCAGACCATGTAAGCATCCTCGCCTACTACCGACCCCCCTCGCTCCCCCCTCTCTGATCTCCGTACCCCAACTTTTTTTTTCTTCTTTCTCCACAATAGCACGGATAATGTGGATCTGATTACTTATTTAGTCTACCGTCTTTGTGTGTACATTACCTAGTTATTTCCCCTGTTCCCCTATGAATATGTTTGTTGTTTTGGTGCTTGTCTGATTTTCTGCTTGCTTCTTTACTTTTTTTCCGCTCCGCTCGATCCTTTTAAGCTCTACAGCGGTACAAACAAGAAGAAATGGAGAGTGAGGGGTACAATCACAGGGCTGCGATTTGATCAAGGCATTTTGGTGGGTTTGTTTGTGCACCCCTTGACGCAAAGTTAATTGGCTCCATTGCGTGTCTGCATGTTTGACAGACTAGCTTTGTGGAGGAGGACACAAAGGGGAAAGAGAAAGAGAAAGAGAAAGAGAAAACGGAAGAGAAAGAGAAGGGGATGGAATGAGCAAATGAACCATACACGGACCGATGCATAACAGAGTCATAGTGAGGGCACACACACACTGTGTCCACGGGTGAGGGAAAGAACAAAAGAGGATTAGGCTCAGGCACGGGTCTGTCCAGATAAGCAGAGCATTAGAAAACAGCTGCTTGCTCATGTGCAAGACAGCAAAGAGAGTTGTGCCTCATTGCCCGCCACAACACTCCGCCCTTTCTTTCGAGGGAAGGGGAGGGGAGAAAGAAGAGGAGGTTGAACCTTCTTTGGCCCTGCCCTGATGTCACACCTCTGGAAAAGATTTTCCTGCTTTGCCCTTTTTCTCTTTACTTTGCCCTCCTGCCTGCCTGCCTCTCTTCTCCCCCTCTTCTTTCTTCCTTTCGCTTTCGCTCCACTAATCCTTCGTCCATATCTCTCCCCCATTAGACAACGCCGCCCCACAACACAAGGCCATCTCTGATTCTGTCCCACCGTTCGCCTATGTGCCACAGAATATGCATCTGACCCACCCCCACACCCATGCCCTGGCCCAGCTGCAATCACAGGATGCCTCGGCCTCACACAGCCAACATCGTCGGTCAAGCAGTAGTCAATTGCACCCAGAGGCTGCCTCTATCGCTTCCGCGACCTCGACAGCATCCGCCGCCAGGAGAAGTTCCCTCGCCAATCCAGCCTCATCACACCCACAACGAGAACGATCCACACACCCACACGCAACGACCTCGAGCCCCATGCCAAAACTGTTCAAGGTCGAGATTGCCAACAATGGCGACTGCAAGACCTCGAACCCGATCTTTTACCCATCCGACCTGATCCACGGAATGGTCTATCTCTATCTGGACAAGCCCATGACCCTGCCAGCCCTCAAGATCGTCTTCCGAGGAGAATCCAACTACCCGAGTTCGAAACAGCAGGATCATCTGGACCATCATATGCGGCGGCTGTTCAGTGTGGCCATGACGCTCTGGGGATCACGGGAACCAATGCCAGAGGATCAGTGGGGACAACTACCGCCTGGGAACCATATATTCCCGTTCACGGTGCAGTTGCCGGACAAGAACCTGCCGGCGTCTTTTGACCATCCCTGGCTCAAGAACCAGTACACGCTCACGGCTTATTTTCGACGACCGAACGGATTATCAAAGTGGCAGTCAAAGGCCAAGCCGATCAACTTCATGCCGCTGTCGACGCCCGGACTGGAACATGGACCGATTCAGGAGTCGTGCCCAAAGATGGGCACAGCGTTGTTGTTGTCGCATCCGGATCTGACCCCCGGAGGACGGGTGCATGTGCAACTGACTGCGGCCGCTGCGATTGATCGGTGTCAGTTTTCGCTGTCGAGGCATATTCGAGCGAGGATCAACGAGACAACGTACAAGGAGGACGAGGTGATTTGTCACTATGAGCGAAAGTCGATCCCGAAGGGCGAATTTAATTTGGTGTTACCGATCCCGAAGATCACGCCGCCGACGACGGAATCGTCGAGTGCGCTGAAGATCACTTATTCGGTGCAGGTGTCGATCTGGAATGAGCGATTCTTCTTCAAGACAGAGAGTCATAATTTCGATATCCCGATCGTGATCCGGACACTGCCCTCGTGTGATAACCGGGCCTGCGAGGGCTTGGATTGGTGCGAGCCCAGTGTGGATCGGCCCATGTTTCTGACGGAGGCGCCGATGCAGCCGTTGCCGCTGTATAATGCGGACATGAGCCCACCAACGTATTCGACGGACTTGCCGGAGTATGATGAGGTTGTTGGGGCAATATCGGTTCAGGACCAGGACCAGGTTCAGGACCAGGACGAGGAGCATCATCCAGGGCATGAACGTGAACATGATCGTGATCAGGACCAGGACAGGGCTTCGACACATTCGGCAGAGTCGAGTAACAGCGATGTCGCGGGGCATGAGCGCGTGGTCCCGGGTCATGCTCACCCACACCATCCGTCATGTGTCTACTACGTTGCTCCATTGGACCGCTCGGACCAGCATGCCTCATCCTCATCCTCGTCCTCGTATTCGTCAGGATTGCAGGACAGTATTCAAGCGGAGGGATCCACCTCTGCCCGTTCACGCTCACTCGTGCACCCACACCCACATGTACAGGCTGTCGACTTTTTGAAGGTGCATACGACGCTTGAGTCAGTGTGAGCAATATCCAACAGCCTTTACCTCCCTCCAAGGTACAGCACCAAGCATGCAGCAACACAGCTTGATGATCGACAATCTCGCTTCAACGATGCAACCAGCCAGCCGGTCCCCCCTCTTCCCTCCTCCCCTTTGTTTATAATCCTTACTCCGCAACCCATTACCCTGTATATTTTGCCCCTTGTATTTTATTGTAGTCGACCCCTTTTCGATACCAATGGGAAAAGAAAAAATACCAAGAACATAATAATAAACACATGTACTTTATCATGACCGCTGGAATTTTTTTTTTTTTTTTTTTTTTTTGGTTACAAGTATATGAAAAAAATATATAAAAATCATCCCACTCGGCACTTGTGGCCGCCTAAATGTGATTTATCCTGGTCTCACTTCAGACAAACATTTCGCTTGTCAAGCAGACAATCCGGGTGGAGGGAGAGAGAGAGAGTAGAAGACTAACACCAGTTTCATTTCATTTTCGACAGCTGTAAAAAATAATACCGCTTATTATTTTATTATTGTCATCATCATCATCCTCTCGATCCAGCCTATTTTCCCAAGACCATATTTCCTCTTTTTTTTTTTTTTTTATTCAACTTGGCCTCCGAGAGGAAATAATCAGTGTCAGTTTCCTAGTGAATAGTCTCTGAGACTTGTGTCTATCTGGCCCTAAATCTTCTAGTGTGGCAGTCGCACCATCTCCAACAACTTCACCATAACCTCTCTAAGCGTCCCGAGGTCTTTCTCCTGCGATCCACTCGGCGAGCTGGCAGGCTCCTCGCCTGCAAATCGCCAAGACCATCTCTCCAATTGTAACCTGTACATCTGGGAGATGGTCTTGGTTTCTTGAGAGCACGGAATCCGTTCTACAGTTGAAACTCGTTTATCGGCCGTGTTTTGTTAACAAAACCCGGCCGATAAACGAATCCTCTACTATTGTAACATTTCCTCCTCCTCCTCGTCCCGTCTTTCCTCCACCTGAGGTCACTGGATGTGAGCTCAGATTAGCCTATTATAAAGTGGGCCTACTCACTTTTGAACTTATACCTTAACCCCGGCAGGGGTATCCCACTTTTCCATACTGCCTAAAAAAATCAATAGTTCAAAAAGTTCAGCTCAAAAATGTACAATGCTTGCCATATGTATTATAGTGCGAATTCCCTGCTAAAATAATTTGCAAAATTCTGCAAAGAGCAAGCTATCACGTGCATATGCTTGAATTATTTTTGGAAATAAATAGGAATTAGGTTGAGTGCTATCCAGTGACCAGAAGCGACTTTAGCTCAGTTGGGAGAGCGTCAGACTGAAGATCTGAAGGTCGTGTGTTCAATCCACACAAGTCGCAGGTCTTCTTTTTGATAATTTTTTTACGTGGTTTTTTTGGGCACAGCGGGAGGTTGTGCTGTGCTCACTCTTGTCTCCTCTTCCTCTTCTTGATCATTTTTTCTGCCACTCTTAACCAGTACAAAATCTATCTTGTGTTGTGAAAGGTACGTTTTCACCTGTACACTTTACGCACCAGGCATCAAAGTGCATATGTATGAATGATAAGTAAAACAAGCAAGCAAATAAAACGAATGAAGCTACATATTTTCCTTTAGACATTTTGAGGTGCAAGGTACGAAAGCGACAGCAGTATCAGTGCGCCTCAGGCACTCGAGTTTGCCAAGTCTGTGGTCTTCAAATCGGACAGTGACAAGATTCATCAGTTCTGATATCGGTTACAGCGGAGTAATTGGGCTAGCACCGCCAAAACGCGCTCATATACTTATGAAAAAAACCCCCCCAGCAAGGGTGCAACAGCAGCATTTTACCCTAGCTCAGTAGCCAATCCTCGCCTCGATCCTTCCTTTCAGTAGAGGTCTCTGACGATCATGAGATGAAGCTGGTGTACAAAAGCCCAACACCTAGTGTTGTGAACGCAAAGCACTCTACAGGGGAAAGATTTGTTTGGAGAGAGAACCTGCTATACTCGACTATATAATAAACCGAGTGTTGAGGGGATATATTCAGCTTGATCATTCCTGATATACAACTCTTTTTCCTTAAAATAGGTGTGGAGATCATTCTCCTTAATCTTTTTGAGAGGCCTTTATATCCATCCTCACATTATGTCGCGTATTCTTTTTTATTTTTTACTACATTGGCTTTGTTACCTGTCCTATGCTCCGGGGTCAGTACTCTTTCTCTACAATCGGGATGGCTCTTGGACCCCGAACCACTTATTTCCTCTTGGTATCAGGGTCACAGCCCATATCTGGAACTTGAGGTCGATCCCGACGGTGCTTTGTTGCGTCGATACGGATGAGTTGATGCGGTTGCCCTGACTCCCTTCCAACCCCCCTTTCATTTTACGAAATGGTCGTATATATCCATTGCCCTTTTCAATCGGCCGGTTATATGGAGGAGTTCATCGCTGCGTCCCTCATATTCCTTCACTAGCCCGTTCAACTTCGTGTCCTTGCCTAGCATCGTGGGATCCATGTTGCTGGTATTTGGCGCGCCCTCAGTCGAGCTACCTCAGCCGTCGTCATCTGTGTGCTCCAAAACGCGGTATTATACATCGTCTGTCGATAGCACGATACAGTGTTTCTACGGCCACTCTCCACCATACTCGATTCCTCTCCCGTTGACACCCAGGCCTTAGCCGGCACTGTTGCCATCATTGCTGGCATGGTGAACAATGGGGACGGGCGGGGTATATGAGTCTCCTATCTCATGGGAGCCCTTCTCTACTCTTCGTGTCATCTCGTTTTTTTAAATCATCCGTTCTATTCATCTCTATAGCATGTCTTTTTCTTTTTTCTTTTTTTTTCTGATTTGATCTGTCAGCGGTAATACCCTCGGAGTCATTATTTGATCTTCCGTCGCTCTTTTCTCGTGTTCTATGAGCCTTTGAGTATGCTCTTGTTGTTGTTTTTTTACTGAGTGTGACTATCGGTACTTGGATCTTACACATAAGAATGGCGGCACCATACAAGGCCATGCGGAGATATGGGCCTCCTTTTTCCCTAGTGTCATGGAACCATGCAGCTTAACATAGCTGGCGTGAATGTGCTTCTGTTCTAGTCCTTTATTTCTACCCATTACCCCTGCGCTGTTTGAGTAGCTGGCCGATCACATTTGATCGCCCTCTGGCAGTTTGATTTACATAAGTTTGGGCGCAGCTGTTGTCCTGTGCTACTTATTCAGACACACTGTATATATATATTACGATGACCAAGGACAAGATCACCCGTCTTCATGCGATACATTCGCTACTTCTTTCGACACTTCGCTCCATCTCCATGGACATCGACAGCAGTTCCACTTTCTCCCCCACTACTACTCCCGGCTCCACGGGCGATCTTACCCTCCTAAACAATCTCTCTATCCTGACTGAAGATCAGAGCACTTCTCCGAGAGACCCACAGCAGGAGACTGCTGCCCTTCTAAACTGGTGATTCTGTCCAGTCGATTTCAACATCATTCATAGTAAACTTCGGTTTTGCGGAGGTCGACGACAAGGAGGGGCAACTCGACCCTTCTTTGGAAAAACCTCACCCAACTGTCCAGCAAAACGCAATTCTTATTGAACAACAAAAGCACTCTTTATTTGAGTTTCCTTGATGTGGTCAAGATGAGTCCTCATGATGTACTTTGAGATGATACGCTCGCCTCTGTCCAGAAAGAGTATCAACGGCTAAAGTCCTAGATTGGTGCTGAGTTCCAAGGATTGGACGGGGTTTATCAACCTGTCCGAGCTCAGCTTGCAGAAGCTTCGTTGCTTGAACAAAATATGGAGGCAAGGGCGATTATGTCTACCTCCACTGCAGCAGGATTCATCTTGGACATCGATCTAGTAGCCGCTCATCCTAAACATCTTTTACTTTGTTAGAGTTTTGAGTATAAAAAAATGGGACAATCTATTTGACAATCCGGGTCGACAGCCTTACTTGAGATACTTGGGTTATTCTATTTGACAACCTCTTCCATATTTGGGATTTTAGCGCCACTATTTGGCAACCCGTTGGCAAATAGCACTGGAGTAAATTTCGCAGTGTGACCACACGCAATACAAGCTGTCTTTGCTGGACCACCCCCATTTCCCATGGCCCTTGAAATAAAACGGCCAACACCAGGTGCTTAGATAGCGTGTGGCCCTTGATCGTTTGTCTATTGCGGGTCGGATGCGATGAGGGTTGCAGGCGGCACTAGGCCCGTCTTTCTGCATTCAAAGCTTTCATTGGCGGCTATGCTTCTTTCCATAATTCCCACACAGACGGTTGTCTAATGTCGCGGACAGCCCAACTACCCTCGCACGCCTAGCCGATCCTATGCCACCGTATCGCACAATCTTGTCAACTGTGGCAATTTTTTTTTTGTTTGAGTTCTTAGAACCTGGTATAACCACCACGAATCCAGTCTATAATAAGCCATTATTCTCGCACATAGTACTCTTGCTCTCTCTCCTTCTCCCCTGAATCCTTTATCTGCCCTTGACGTATACTTTAAGAACTTCGTGTATTGCGATCAAGACGCTTCTGAGTCTCAACACTGCTCCTGATACGTGCCTACTTCGGTCTGTCCTTGGCCTTCATAATTTTAAAAAGTCCTTCCCTTTTTGACGATGGCTTTGGAAATTGTTTCATTCACGTTCGAACTGCTCCGGCTTTGAGTTGACTACATCCAAAAGCTCCTTCATCGTCCCCGATATTTCCCCGTAGCGGCGTTTCCTCGATATCTCGCGTTCGTCGGCCTACCCGGGCACTGCAAAGTCTGGGAAGCCTTCGTAGTGTCGCTCATGTAGGTTTCGGAGGATGTACTGGCATTATTAGACCTCTGGTATATCTTGACGACGCAAAACTGCTTAGAACTGAGATCAAGCTCGAGACCGTCTTGTATGGATTCCTTGTACCATCGCTTGGGAATTAATCTGATGTGATATTTGCATCTTCTGCCAAGTTCCATCTCTTTAAAATAGTGTCGGCACACGATACCACAGCTTTGCAGCAGAAGGCATG